CAACTACAGCTACTACACCAACTACAGCTACTACACCAACTACAGCTACTACACCAACTATAGCTACTACACCAACTACAGCAACTACAGCTACTACACCAACTACACTAACTACACCAACTACAGCTACTACACCAACTGCAGCTACTACACCAACTACACTAACTACACCAACTACAGCTACTACACCTACTACAGTTACTACACCAACTACGACTACTACACCAACTACTGGTACTACACCAACTACAGCTACTACACCAACTACAGTAACTACAGCAATTACATCAACATTCTCATAGTGGGCTTAGTGGTCACTTAATGTCTCTATATTCGTGACGGTTATCATGAACCCATTACCAATTTTTTCTCGGCTACGGTTCGAAACACTGAACGTGTTATATATCCTAGAAGCGCTCAGGCATAATAACATCATGCCAGGACTTCTACCTGGATGAACCAGAAAGGATATAGAACGATTACCTAATTTTTACTCGGCTGCGGGTCGAAATACTGAACGTGTTATATATCCTAGAAGCGCTCAGACTCAACTGGTTTGTATTAACTGACAGTTTTTTGAGTCATTCGATAACTTTTATAAAGTACACCCCTTATTAAAGAGCCCATTTTCATGATATGCTCAATGATGATTATCGAATTCTTTTAGTGTATAAAAAGGAAACCCATTTCTACGAGGAATCGGCGCCGGCGCTGGCAGGGAAAAATGTTTGGCAGGGAAAAATGTTTGGTTAAAACCTCTAACCCCTGATAAACACTGGAGCAGCAATGAGTATGTTCGAATTTGCATTCACGTCACACAAGAACGAAATGGGATCTTAACACTGATCATATTAAATTCGCTCTACAATCATGCAATGTAATACTGCAATGTATACTTTTATCCTATTTCGTAGACTCTGGTGACAGTTCTGAAGTAACTTCAGATGATTATGGTGAGTACATACGCCATATTTGGTCTGAGTTGGGTTTGTTTTCAATTCTCTACTCTTCTCTGAAAGGGCTGTCTTCGGCGGGGACTCTAGCCTGCGTAGCAAGCGTTTCCACACTGTTTCGGAGCAAAGAAAGACCGAGGAACGGGATCCTCGGGTTTTTGGCCACGCGGGAAATGACCTCCCCGCTTACTCGCGCCATTTTTCGCGGGGTCTTTGACTCTCGCTCCTCGTTTTTTGCTCCGAAACAGCGCGGAAACGCTTGCTACGTTTTTTTTTACGCAGGCTGCGGGTACTCTTCGGGTACAACGATAGAGGGTCACAGCTTTATCATTTCTTGAAACCGTCAAGTGTCCCTCTTCTAATTAAAGTCAATTAGTTTTTCGTTTTATTTTGTTTTGTTGTTTTTTTTTTGTTGTTGTTGGTTTGTTTTTCGTACTACATCATCTTTAGTGATATATATAAAAAAATCTTTACCCAAGAATCAGAAGTTTGTAGATGATCACCTTCCGAGCAAAGCCTCCTTTTGTCTTTTTCGCCAAAATCGAACAAGTTAAGAAAGGCTCTCCTGGCAGGATGATGGATGATACAAGTGTTTCTTCAAAGAAAATCTCGTTAGCCACCAGCGCAGGCAGTCAAATACCGAACCTTTTGAACTTACTACTACAATTGCGGCTCTTCTCGTAGCAGGCACGTTGTGAAGTTCTGCCTAAAAGCACATCTCGCAAATGTTTCTATCCTTTTACGAAAAAAATTCTCGTTGACTAATATTTAAATTTTATGTTCCAGATGACGTTTCATGTAGGACTGAGAAAGAGAAAATTCAAATGAGAAAATTCAGCGTCGACCTAGAAAACATTGGTGGAGATGTTGTTGTTGGAGGTCAATCGGCACAACAATTCCGTAGTCGAAAAAAAAAAGGTATTTTATGCAAAAACGAGTAACCCAAACAAACATTTTATTGCAGGAGGAACGAGAGGAAAGTCAGAATTTTGAAACGAAAAATTAAACTGGGAAAGCCGCAGCTTATTACCGATAAGCAGTTCTTGAGCTGAGCGAGGGTATTTTAAGCCATTCAGCTATAACTGACTTTTGGGTACTTCGATCCTCCTAGGTGGCGAGGACCATGGGCTACCGTGAGAGCAAGAAATTCATTTTCTAAATATGGCTAAGATTTCTGTTTCCTTAGGGTGATTTTATCCACTCTCCTCCACCAATGCAAACTTCCCTGTGCTCCATTCCTGTCCCAGTTTTTTCGATTCCCCCGAGTCAACTTGCAGACCTTCGATGACAAGTCCTCCTCTTTGTGAACGTGGTCTTTACCAGCAGCTCTTTTCTTAATTCCTTAACAGATAATGTAATTAGTGGAGTGATCCAAGGGGGGTCACGGGAAGACATCACAACTCTCGTCACAGGGAAGCACTTATCCATAAGATAGCGCAGTTCCTTATTTAATATATTAGTTGCTATTTAAAAAAAGGGGGTATTGATCACAGATGTCTAAAATCTCTAAAACAGCATTTAGATCGGATTGGTTTAATTTTGTTCCCGGAGGAAGTATCACGCCCCAGTGGTCAGTCTTTATCAGTGCTTGAAAGCGTAGGGGTCGTTGAACAGCTCAGGGTGGTTTGTGAGGCAGTCACCCAGGATGGAAGTCCTTCTAATGGCGAAATTCACCATGGGCACTAGGCCAGATGAAGTGGAAAGACAGTCCAGATGTAATCGGTTCAGATCACCTCCACAGAGTACTACCCCATTTGGATGTATGTCTAAAAATGTATCAGAACGAGCGATGATGGGATCAATAAGATCGCCTTCATCATACTGAAAACTTAGAAGATCGTACAATCCAATGATTAGCATATGATGTCCTGACGGAAGTAGTAATTCCACACTCAGCATCTCGAAGGAGAATTCGCGATTAACATTCAAAACCTTCAAGTTTTCTCGCACATATACTGCAACTCCACCTTTCTTTCGTTTATCAGTTCCAGCCCAATCTCTATCCCTTCGATATATAGTATACCCCTCAATAGTAATAGTACTGTCAGGTTTCTGTCTATAAAGATGCGTCTCTGAAATAACGTTAACGCCGATTTCTTACGATCGAAAATCTGCAGCCAGAGCTAAAGATGCTCGTACTCTATTCTTGATCTAATCAAGACTACAGGTGTTAAGGTGTTAAGACAAAAACATTTGCAATAAGATTTCAAAATTATCGATATCAATATAAGAATTGATGAAATAAGTTTTCAATGCATTCTTAAAGGATAAAAGACTATTTCTCCTTTTAATTTCATAAGGCAGACCGTTCGACAACTTTGCACTGCTGAAGCTTAAAGACCTTCCGCCGTCGGTGATGTGCTGAAACTTTGAGCACACAAAGTTATATTGTCCTGTATTGGCTATGTCTCGTCTTTGTACCGTGCACAGTTTTGTTCGTAGTTAAGAGATCAGCAATGTTCAAGGGCGATTCGTCTTGCCATACCTTAAAGCAAAACACACTTCTTTATCTTAACGTCATCAAAATTACCTCGCTAAAGTAAGGACTTAAGTATGGGAGGTTCGTAACGAGGCTTTTTTTTTTCACATTTATCCTTAAATTTTGATCCCTGATTTCAATATTTTGATCCCTGATCTCTTGAAAATTTGTCTATCCCTGGATTCAGCGCAAACGCGGAATCTGTGTTGGATGAACTGTGTTGATTCGTTGTTGCTCGATAAAGCCTGAAAGTGTCGGTCGATTTCTTTTAGCATTCACTGACTCCAGCCTGAAATTTCAGTTAGCCTTCTCTACCCCCCTAAACCGAGGTGGGCGCACTGGAGAGTTAAGTTTAACTCCAATCAGTTCTTCGAGTTATCATCATTTCTGTCATAAAGTTCCATTTTAGACCTTGTAGACGGGTCTCATATAGAGCGATGGTAACAGACTTTTCGTTTTGGTTCTTGTTACACATTTAATAACTCTTCCTTTTAAAACGTGATCAATTCAATTACATACAAAAATAACACACACACAAACAAGCAAAAGAAAACGTCAGTAAGATCTGCTGATCAACCCTAGGATGAGTGGGGCTTTTTCTAGCTAACTTCGTCTAGGTCTTCGCCTTGGCAACGTCAGTTGACAAAGTCAGCTCAGCCGCATCTTTAGTCGTACCTCACCATCTGACTATCCTCTCACGAAAATGTGGTCATAACATCTGTTATTGGTAATGATATAACAACTGTAAATGTTGTTTGTAAATAGGACTTTGTGGAATAGTACATTCAGTTTTTATTTTTAGCTGCTTTATGTTTGTTGAGGGCCATGCGTACATAATATATGTGGATTTCACGTTTGATCAGTATTTATGTTGTCATACTGTAATGTACGTTATCGTCTGTTTATCGTCTGACTATCCTCTCACGGAAATGTGGTCATAACATCTGTTATTGGTAATGATATAACAACTGTAAATGTTGTTTGTAAATAGGACTTTGTGGAATAGTACATTCAGTTTTTATTTTTAGCTGCTTTATGTTTGTTGAGGGCCATGCGTACATAATATATGTGGATTTCACGTTTGATCAGTATTTATGTTGTCATACTGTAATGTACGTTATCGTCTGTTTATCGTCTGACTATCCTCTCACGGAAATGTGGTCATAACATCTGTTATTGGTAATGATATAACAACTGTAAATGTTGTTTGTAAATAGGACTTTGTGGAATAGTACATTCAGTTTTTATTTTTAGCTGCTTTATGTTTGTTGAGGGCCATGCGTACATAATATATGTGGATTTCACGTTTGATCAGTATTTATGTTGTCATACTGTAATGTACGTTATCGTCTGTTTATCGTCTGACTATCCTCTCACGGAAATGTGGTCATAACATCTGTTATTGGTAATGATATAACAACTGTAAATGTTGTTTGTAAATAGGACTTTGTGGAATAGTACATTCAGTTTTTATTTTTAGCTGCTTTATGTTTGTTGAGGGCCATGCGTACATAATATATGTGGATTTCACGTTTGATCAGTATTTATGTTGTCATACTGTAATGTACGTTATCGTCTGTTTATCGTCTGACTATCCTCTCACGGAAATGTGGTCATAACATCTGTTATTGGTAATGATATAACAACTGTAAATGTTGTTTGTAAATAGGACTTTGTGGAATAGTACATTCAGTTTTTATTTTTAGCTGCTTTATGTTTGTTGAGGGCCATGCGTACATAATATATGTGGATTTCACGTTTGATCAGTATTTATGTTGTCATACTGTAATGTACGTTATCGTCTGTTTATCGTCTGACTATCCTCTCACGGAAATGTGGTCATAACATCTGTTATTGGTAATGATATAACAACTGTAAATGTTGTTTGTAAATAGGACTTTGTGGAATAGTACATTCAGTTTTTATTTTTAGCTGCTTTATGTTTGTTGAGGGCCATGCGTACATAATATATGTGGATTTCACGTTTGATCAGTATTTATGTTGTCATACTGTAATGTACGTTATCGTCTGTTTATCGTCTGACTATCCTCTCACGGAAATGTGGTCATAACATCTGTTATTGGTAATGATATAACAACTGTAAATGTTGTTTGTAAATAGGACTTTGTGGAATAGTACATTCAGTTTTTATTTTTAGCTGCTTTATGTTTGTTGAGGGCCATGCGTACATAATATATGTGGATTTCACGTTTGATCAGTATTTATGTTGTCATACTGTAATGTACGTTATCGTCTGTTTATCGTCTGACTATCCTCTCACGGAAATGTGGTCATAACATCTGTTATTGGTAATGATATAACAACTGTAAATGTTGTTTGTAAATAGGACTTTGTGGAATAGTACATTCAGTTTTTATTTTTAGCTGCTTTATGTTTGTTGAGGGCCATGCGTACATAATATATGTGGATTTCACGTTTGATCAGTATTTATGTTGTCATACTGTAATGTACGTTATCGTCTGTTTATCGTCTGACTATCCTCTCACGGAAATGTGGTCATAACATCTGTTATTGGTAATGATATAACAACTGTAAATGTTGTTTGTAAATAGGACTTTGTGGAATAGTACATTCAGTTTTTATTTTTAGCTGCTTTATGTTTGTTGAGGGCCATGCGTACATAATATATGTGGATTTCACGTTTGATCAGTATTTATGTTGTCATACTGTAATGTACGTTATCGTCTGTTTATCGTCTGACTATCCTCTCACGGAAATGTGGTCATAACATCTGTTATTGGTAATGATATAACAACTGTAAATGTTGTTTGTAAATAGGACTTTGTGGAATAGTACATTCAGTTTTTATTTTTAGCTGCTTTATGTTTGTTGAGGGCCATGCGTACATAATATATGTGGATTTCACGTTTGATCAGTATTTATGTTGTCATACTGTAATGTACGTTATCGTCTGTTTATCGTCTGACTNTATATATATATATATATATATATATATATATATATATATATATATATATATATATATATATATATATATATATATATATATATATATATATATATATATATATATATATATATATATATTTGGGTACAGCAGCTGTACCCAAGCTATTTTGCAATTAGGAAATGTTCTATTACTTTATTGCAAAACCTGGAGGAAAAAATAAAAGCAAAACGATAACCAAGAACTATTATAAGCAAAAACTGACAAAGTTTATAATAATAAATAACAAAATATTTATATAGCGCTTATACTTTTCAGTGCTAAGCGCTACGTTTGTACGCGAACATTCAGAACCGAGAGGGAGTTCCATGATGTATCCAGCAATACCACCAAGAAAACTACGAGACCACGTAACAGGAGGCGGAAGAGCAAGTTACGAAAGTGCAGGACGGAGAATGCCTGTAAAGATAGCCCCACCAATTCCACTTAGAGGAAAGGAGGTCGAGGCCAAACTCCCCCAGAGGAGAGTTACCTATATCTATGAACCACAAGACCAGGAAGAGGTTCAAGATAAGCCTTACAAGGACGCAACAGGTAGCGAAAGTACAAGTTACATCCAGTGTAAGTATGTGCTAGTGATATTAGTTAGAAAGCTTAGAAAAACAAGTCGTTAGATGGAAAGCATAGTATAAATGTTGGCGGCAGTTTTTCAAACTAGTTAATTAGTTGGTAACAGGGCCTGTCAAACGGCTAAAATTTGCATTCTTGAGCTTAAAAAATCGCCAAACATAGTCTCACATACATCAACAAACTTCATTTATTCTCGGCCAATTTTTAAATCTGCATACAGTTAAAGGGGCTATGTCACGCTATTTGATCTCTCTTTAAAAAAGCTGTCTTCACATCAGTTGATCGAATTACAAAAATAATGGTCCAGTTTTGTGATTGAAGACTATATTTAGGCATTCAAACTGTTTCCTGTAGTCGGTTGCAAAGGATGGAAAGAATAGACTTGGACTGAAATTTGAATGCTTCCTCGTAAAAGTTTTTTTCTGTTTCTTATGTCTAACGGAAGCCATATGTCCAGCCCTGGTCATGAAATCCACTGTTTCTAATCAGTTCTCAACGTAGTTCCACACTTCTGCGGTAGAAGTGTGGAAAAATCTGACAAAGTCGGTATTTTCCCATAGTCACGAACCCCCTGCTATTCTATATTTAGCTCTTCACTTCTCACAGGTGTGGAAGTAAGAGTGGAAAAATCCGACAAAGTCTGTGGATATTGTCACACTTTACTCATAGTCATGAACTCTTCATCATTATTATTTTTTTTAGGATGTTTGTGTTCAAAGCGTTTACTCTATTGAATTACTGTGCTCACGTCAGCTTACCAGATGTGCCTGGTCCAAGTAAAATGACATACTTGGAATGAAATTGTATCAAAACTGAGTGTCCATTTACGATCAGACACCTACGATACCTTTCGTATAGCAAAGGGGATGGGG